GGGGGGGGGGGTACTCGCTATGACGTAGTCAGCAGACAAGGTCGTCTTCACCCGGGGCACGAACATGCAGAACGACAACTACCTACTGGTGCCATTCCTTATCGTTGGACCTTGTGGCAGGAGCAAAATTTGGCCGCCCGACAGCAGCAGCCCTAGAGAGCTCAAACTCACTCTTCGAACCGTCCTTGCCGCATCCCTGGCCTCCCATCTCCGAAAACGTCTCCCCGGTGATGGGGTCCACGTCGCCGTCGGCGACGGCGCACCCTCTCTCTTGCTCAACTGGAGGGCCTTTAGGATGGACGGATGAGGTACATCACGGGGCCGAGCGACACTGGATGAGAGAACACGAGTGTGTTGTATGTACAAGTGATCCCTCGGGAGTGGGCTCATGAGATTACAGCACTCATGGTGAAGGGCTTGACGCAACATGCAATAATATAACAGTAGCAGGACAAGCCCACAGCTGGCTATCAGCTGTCAGGTGTGACTTCTCCGAAGCTCGAGCAGCTCGCACAGCTCACACAGCTTACTTCTTTCTGACTCGAAGAGCCCGCAGCGAACCTCAGCGAACCAAAAAGCAAGAACTACAAATCTGTACACAGCAGTAGTCTTTGCGTATGTAGGAGGGAGACAAGTAACGAGAGAAGAGCGAGGAACAAAATAAATTAGGACGTACGTATGCATACACCTGCTCTTGTGTGACCCCGGCTGGTGACGAGCCCAGCAACGGAAGGGTATGCACGTGCATAGAAAAACATGACCTTCACAACAAATAGGGCGACACACAGATCAAAAACTCGACCGAGGCAGCACACCGGTGAAAAGCAGCACCTCGGGGAGACAACAAGCCACAAAACCTTGCGAGCCTTGACCAAACCGCAAAGTGCCACACTATGTTCCCTTGCGGGTAACCGGACCCCCCCCCCATCTCCCTCCCATTACTATTCCCGTGCCGTAAGACAAGACTTGGAAGAGCACAGACCCATGCCGGTGCTCACCCAGGAAGGCCAGCGCGGCGGCGCGATCCAAATCATGGGGCCCCATTCCGTCGGTAGCTGCAGAAGGTGCCGTTATGGCGCTCGGCAAGATCTCCGGCAGCGGCGTCATGTGCACCACGCTTCGGGACAAGGGGTCGAACGCTCGCTGTCGTTGCCATGACGGGTGCAAGCAGAGGGGGAGGGGGCGGGGGG